CTCCTGGCTTTGAGCAGTGCTGAGACCCAGGGGCAGGGTCCTGTCCCACTTTGGGACCACTTGCCCAGAGAGGTGCTCGCTGCCCCATCCCTGGAACCATCCCAGGTGAGGTTGGATGGAGCTCTGAGCACCCTGCTCTAGCTGCAGATGTCCCTGCTCCCTGCAGGGGGTTGGACTGGGTGATCTTGAAAGGTCCCTCCCAGCTCAGAACGTTCATCCACCTATGATAATCTATTGAGTGTACTTCCATTTTCTACTTCTCACAATGCTAAATGAGTGTTTCAGCTCTCTGATATTTCAGTTCTATATTATTCCTTTTCAAAGGCTATATTAGAGTGAAGGAGGCTTGACGTTCAAAGGAGATAGGACAATGAAGCAACTGAAAAAAAAACCAAAACAAAACCAGAAAACAAATCCAAAATAGAAGGGGCTTTTGAGTTGCCTGGATGAGTTTTGGGTGACCCAGGGAGTGCACGTCGCAGGTGGTTTCTATCTTGCTGTGGTCGCTGGCTGGTATCTGTGTTTTATCACCCACATTCAGGCAGGCAGGGAGGTGAGACCTTGGCATCACAGCTGAGGCTCCTGCCTGCATCTGCCTACCCATCTCCACCGCCCCCAAGCTGGCAAAGCACCAAAAATGGAAGGATTTTCACCCAAAAAAAAAGGCTCCTCCCAATCCCCCTTTTCTCCTGTTGCAGCCTCAGGTGCCTAAAATACTCTGGTCCTGTATCCAAATCGCATCAGCCGGGATCATTCTTTTCTAAATGGGGCTTTTCAGGGCAAGAAAGTAATGAATGAGTTTTTAAGCATGCCCATAAAGGCAACGTTTCGAGACGTCATCTGCGGAATACGTTTATTTTAGGTGCCCTCCCCCCTTCCCTCCCCCCCCCCCTTCTCCCCTCTGGTTTATTTTAACAATGCTGTAATTTTCTATTATAAAATGGGATTTTTTTTTTCTGTTTAACTCCATGCAGGCCGTTCAGCATTTGTATGTGCACGCACTGGTGACATTTGTCACCACCAGATGCTATTTTTAGGCCTGTTATTCTCGAGGACCCCACCCTTGGCTTGGGGAGGGGAAGGGGGGAGCGCAGGAGGAGGGAGAGGAGGGAGGGGGAGGAAGGAAAACGCCAACCTCAGCACACTTCCAGCCTCTGGCCATCCACCTCCCCGCGGGCATGGGAACCATAAGGTCATTTCTCAGGCTTGCTGAGCTCCAGAGCTGTCAAACCACCCTGCGAGTTTAAAAAATGCAAATGTATGCAAATGAACGGGCTGTTTCCCTTCCCTCTCTTCCTCCACCCCCCCACCCCCACCTCCATTTAAATGACATGAATCACCTTCAATTTTGCCAACATCCTGTAAAGTTACCAGCTTGCCTAAGTGCTTTGGTGAACAGAACTGCATCTCGAGATGACCAGGAGGGGGGAAGAAAAGAGAAGGAGTCCATTTCCACCACAAGACCTGCACATCATTGTAGTTCATAATCCCACCCCTCTCATCTCCTCATTCCATCTATTCCTGCTTTCCTGAAGCTGAGTGAATAATCCACAAATTAGGGAGGATGGAGTTTATTGTCTGCCAAACAAACAAACAAACAAAATCTCTGTGAAAACAATTGTCAGAGTAGGGTAATATTCTGCTTTTCTGATCTTTTGCACTCGAAATGGTTTGGCAATAAAAGATCAAAATAGATTCGTAGAAAGACACATTCCTTCCTGCAAGGAGCCCCGTTAGCCTGATGCTCCAACCAAACAGAAATCAATGAGCAGAAGATAAATACAGCAATAGAAATTTAATTGCTCACGCTTATTATTAAGGATACAAAGCCCTAAAAAGGAAGTTGTCTTTTCCTCTCCTGCTCAGGGGTTATTTATTATCTTTCACTTCACTTGAAGAACACATCGGATTTACTTTCATTTATGGGTGATTTTCAAGGAAGATTTGATACGGAGCCAGTCGGGCTGGTAGAGGAGCGTAGCTAGTTAACATGGTTAAGCACAGCACACTGTAATGAATCAATTTGTTTCAGACAACAGACATAATTAGCGTGGAGCTAATGGGCACGCTGCGGGATGCGGGGCTGGAGCATCAGCCCTCAGCTGAAAAAACTGGTGGCTGGAGCCAGGGGGTGCCGGGGCTCAGAGGGATGTAATCCCTGGTTCTTCTCCCCATCTCTGCACATGGGGAGGCTGCTGGAGAGGGTTTCCCATGGTGGGGGCTGCCCTCAGGGACGGATTGTCCCCCATCTTGGTGTTGCTCTCACCAGGCTGGTGTGCCGTAACCCTTCGCTGGGGGTGTGCTCCATCGAGGTTACATCGTCTTCCCAAGGTCTTCTCTACCTGTCTCCCACACAGTGAGTGTTCAGCAGCACTGATTATGTGTGGGGGAAGAGATCTGCAAGATCCCAGGTAGAAACTGACCGTGCCAGGGGAGGAGAAGGGAGACTGTGTTCCTCTTCCCACGAGAATGCTGGCTGCAGAATCTGATCCCCCCTACGGCTCCCCGGCCTCCCCCAACGGTCACGGGCTTGCTGACCAAGATGAAACAAAGATTCCCTTGGACAGCCTCCATCAGACTTAGGCTCTTTCCATCCCCAAGGACTGGAGGCAGTTGGCAGGGTGGAAGCCAGCCCCAGACCATAAGGTAGACCAGGTCCCCACAGCTGGTGGGAAGGAGGCTTGGAGTCGGCACGGCCAGAAACTGAGCAAGGAAGGACATCCACGACGTGGTGGTGGATCCCAGGCAAGATGTGGAGCAGGCAAGGGGGGGTATAGGGAACCAGGCAGAGGTGCAGAGGGTGGGATTGGGAACCTGCCTGATGGCCTCAGCTTTGCCAACGGGGATGGAGTGGGGCTGCAGTTTTACTTATGTGTGCCCTGGTCTCTCTTGGAGATTAACCACTCGTCTGTGAGCTCTCTACCTGCAGCAGGGCCATGAGCTGGGGCTCGTAGAGGTGACACTGCTCTGTGTCCTGGGGGTTTCCAAAGGGTCGGTGTGTTCAGAGTTATTCTGGCTGTTTGATGTGTTCTGTGTGTGATGGGATTAATGTATTCGTCGCCTGCTGGAGGAAGCCACTCTCCTTTCCTGGGATTTCTCATGTGGAAGGGCTGCTGGAGCCATGTGAAAGAGGAAACATCTTACAGATAAAAAAAAAAAATGGCAAAAAAAAAAAAAAATCAGGTTTTCCTTTTGGGTGTGGGCTTTTTGCTTCCGAATTTCCCTTTGAAGCTGGAGCTGCTGTAGCAGGGGAGGGTGTCTGCCAGATGCACAGGGCATTTGATACCATGCTAACAAGTCCAAACAGGACTGGGAACGGAGCAAGCTCAGCTCATGGGTGAGGACAGCAGACAAGGCCCTTGCTCCTTGCTTGTCTTACTCTGAGCATTTAGGTAGGCTGTGCCACACAGCTCCTTGCTTGCCTCCCCAATTCCCAAGTGCTTCAGCACAACATCCCTGCGTGAGTTGTCCACAGGCTGAGGTGACACGGGACTAGGTCCCGGGCATGAAGTAGCAGGAGGATGCAGAACTAGAGACCTGCTGCCCCGTGAGGGCTGCTCTCCAGCTGCAGCAAACAGCCATGACCAGGTGTCCTGGTCTGGGGTAGAAGAGTGCTAATTCTGTTTGGTGATTTTCCTCTTCAGCCAAAGCTTCTTCTATTTAACCGCCCTGTATGAAGTCAGCGGCGTATATTTACAAACAGTGTCTGCTAGAAGTGATAATGCTCTGTGTTTGGAGTTACCACCAAGGCTTGGTGTGCAGACCAAGGTCATGGCTAACGCTTGTGTATCACACGGAGGGGGGCAGAGAGTAAAGTCACTCGTGCAGTGAGGAGCAGGCAGGATAATTGACCCTAAGATCCACCAATGGGATATTCCATCCCGTTGCCATCACATCCAGTATAAAAGCTGAGGGATCACGAGGGGCAAGCCCTTCCTCCCTTCTGCTGCTCCTTCAACGGCCAGCACCCGAGGAGGACTCCGTCCATCCTGCCTTTCATCCCGAGCCGTGGGTTT